GGATTCTCATCCTGCAGAATAGAGAGGGGTGGGGGTGGGGTGGGGATGGGGGCTTGAATAATGAGCTGCCAGTGCCTGAAGGCGTTCATTGTGCAGAAGAGAGTGACCAAGTTGTTCTCCCTCCCTGGGCAAGGCAGTCTGGTTTTGGCATTTGAGACTGGGAAATGCAGGTTAGGTATCACGAGGAACTTCCTGCCTGTTGGGGGTAAGAGACAGGGCTTAGGGGCTGAAAGGGAGAAAGAGAATTTAGGGACTAACCTCTTTGGGATATCTATAAGAGGAGAAGCATTTCCTGCCTTTCCTCTTCCCCTCCCCCTTTATTGCCTCCTCTCCTCTGCTCTGCAAAGCAATGGACCAAGCATGGGGTCCCTCCATCCAGTTCCAGCAGTGCTGCTTTCTAGCTGAGTGACCCTGGCAAGTCACGTTACCTCTCCGGGCCTCATGGGTAAATGAGTGTGTGTTGGGGTGGGGGCAGGAGAAGATATGGGGTCTCCTTTGAGTTGAACTGGAATCAGGACTGGATATTGGGGAGCTGTTTTGGAGTAGGAACATGGGGCCCCTAGCTAGGAGCGAATGGAGTGGAGTTGGATCAAGACCTCACTGTACTGGCTGCCAGAGCCGCCAGAGCCTGAAAGCCACATTCCGCACTGGCCCATAATCCAGGGCTGGGTGACCTGACTGACTGGTGCACTTGGAAGCAGGAGTGGCCGGCCGGCCTTCCTTCCTTCCTTCCTTCCTTCCTTCCCTCTCATTCAATCAACCAACCAATCTACCACGTAATGTGTGTCCATCAACCACACACCGGGCACCACACCGCACCCCAGGGGTACAATGGAAAGGCGGGTCGGCTCTTCAGGAAGCTGGCATTCTGGTGGGGAAGGGGTAGGATAGGGAGTGAGCAAATCTGTCAACAAGAGATGCTGAGCGCTGTGAAGAGATGCTGGTGGCCCCCAGACGGACGCTGGAACAGTGTGCAAGGACTTAATGGGGCTCTCGGAGGAGATGACATTGGAGTCCACATGAGATGGGACCCCAGCCCTGCAGGGACCCCTATACTGTTGCGTGGAGGGACAATTGTTTGAGTTCTGAACCTTGTAGATGGTTGGGCAGCGAAATGATGGGAGCAGCCTGTGAAGTCTGTCTCCGCACGGTGCTGGGTTCGGGGGAAGCGGCCTGGGCTGTGAGACCCCAGCCAGAGCCCCCTGGAGGCCATGGGAGGACTTGCTGTGGCTGGGAGGGTGCTGAAAGGAGTTGGTAGCGAGGAAGCCAGGCCTACAGAGCTGTCCCCATCTGATGCAGGAGAAAGGCTGGGAGGTCCTTGGGGAGAGGCCTCTGTGCATCTCTCTCTGGGTGTGAAAAGAAGACTTGGAGCCTCTGATCAGATGCCCAAGCCATTCTCCCGAGACAGGAGCCGCCTTTGTCCCCCTGCAGACAAAACCAGCGGGGGGCACTGTGACCCTGGGGGCCTGGGACAGAGGAGGCTCTGTGCCTCCCCTGAGTGGGTGGGCCCTCCTCCCAAGGCTTGTCCCTAGGGGTCTCCGTGGCTGTGACCTGCTCTCTTATTTCTCTGACACCTTTGCTGGCAGCCTCTGGGAAGTTGCCCCTTCTTCCACTCAATGGAAAAGGGGGCCCTCCTGGCTCTGACCCAGGGGAAACTTGGGGAGAAAATCCCAGAGTGGCCCCCATCTATGCCCCCTGTCTATGCCTCCGTCTCACCTGGTCTCCGGGGTTTCCTCCCTGGCCTGCAGTCAGCATCCAGGTCTCTGGGCTCCATGAACGAGAGTGGGCTGTGGAGGAGAAGAAATTCCTTCTCCCTCGAGCCCTGGCAAGTCCTGCAGCACAGCCTAGCTTGCCAGGATAGACCCTAGCTGAGGAGAGAGGAAGAGAGAGGAAGAGAATCTGTCCCAGAGGGCAGCAGTGTGGGGAGCCAGGCCCAGGGACCATGGAGGCATGATCAGGGCCATGTCAAATTGGTTGGGGGGCGGGAGGTGGAAGCAGTCACTGAAGGGTTGGTTAACCCTCTGAGGATGGTGCTCAGCTTTTCAAAGGTTCCAGTGGGAAAGGAGAGTAGGGAGTCGGGGGGCTCTCGCCTGGCACCCACATGGGCACTGTAAAGGCTGGGGGTCTGATGTGAGGTCCTCTGATGGACCAGCCCCTCTCCTCCATAGCCTCATCCCAACCCCTCACTCACTCCATGCGTTGACTCTAATATGTGGTCCCCTGGGTCTGCTCATCCATGTCTGGTCCATTCTGTGGAGCCTTGCATCTCTGTCCCTGATGCTCAGGGGCTTGGAAGAAGAAGGAGAGGGAGGAAAGATATACTCAACACTGACGGGGAGCTGGAGGCAATTTCTGGTGCTTTGAGTACTTTTCAGGAAAAGGGGATTGATATTGAGACACCTTTGGGATGTGGCTCTTCCTCACCTTCCCCCACCAACCCACAAAAGTTTTGGTGGGAGAGGAAGTGAAGGGGTTCTTGCCGAAACCTTTCAGGAGGTTCTGGGGATCCTGCAGCTGTTACTCTCAGGATTCTGACCTCCTCTGGTGGTGAAAATGGAACAGAGGACTTGTGATTTGCCATAAGGCATCAAACTCCCAGGGGGTGGGGGGGAGCACATTTCTGGGTGTTGTCACGGCAGTGCACGTGGGGGTGCCGTTACATGGATCTGCAGGAATTGAGACATGGGGCATGAAGCTAGGTGGGAGGCTGGGAGGGGAGCGCTGGGGACCAGCTCCAGGCAGTGATGGGCCTGACTTCATGTCCTTGTCAGATGCACATTCTTCTCTTCCTCTCTGGAGGGTCCCTAGTTGAAGGACACCTCCTGCTGGGCAGTGGCTGAAGTGAGGGGCTCTGCCCTTGTGAGCCTTTCTCTGCATGATCTCCTTGCTGGGAAGAGCTGGGTCTAGCCACTGCTTTCTTCTCTTTATTCCTGTACCCCCTCCCCCTTTTCTTCCTGTGTTTGATGAGTGCCTTTTGTGCCCTAAGTGCTGGGAAGACTTCAGGATGCTAGGAAGAGAGAGTCATCTGGTCCCTCCACTCTTTGGCTGAGTAGAGCCACACTTCACCCAATCCTATCTGAAGGACTTCCTCCTATTTAAAAAATTCAACAAGTGATTCCTTTCGATTAAACTTTGTTCCACTCACTATGGATTAAGCCCTGTTTCCTCAGGTCTCAAGTCTTACCCATTTCCTCTGGTGCCCTGTTGGGGAGGGAGGCTGTGGCGATTGCCCGACTGCCAGGGAGGAGGAAGGCCCCTGTGCATGTCTCTTTGGGGGAGGGTATGGTGGCCCCCTTGCTTGGAGGATTGTGAGGGACTGAGAACCCTCCTGTCTGTCTTACCCCCTCTCTAGCCATGCACCAGAGGGGACCTCTTCCTTCTCTTTCACTGTGTTCCTACCTTGTCTCCCCTGAAGCACTGCCCCCCACTGGGGATCTGAAGTGGGGAGGGGGCAGGGGTCAGAGAAGTCTGCTGGAGTAGGGGAGAGCTTGGGACAGGGGTGAGGGAAAGGGGGCAGGGAGAATGCATTGCCAAGTAAAAGGCCCCAGATGATCCCAAGGAAGCCTGGCTGGGCAGTGCAGGTGGTGGGCCCTGGGGGAGGGGTCCCTAGCTCCCTGCTCTGGTGGCTTGTTGCTGTGGAGGCCCTTGTAGGGCTCTGCTAGCATGCCACACCCCCTGGCCCTTTTCTTTCCAGGCTTGGCTGGCTGGCTGGCTGCCCTCCCTTTTTCTCTGCAGCAGCGGGCTGGGGACAAAGCTCATGGCTGCCGGTCCACTTCTCTGTTTTCTGGCCCTCTGGTCTGTCTCTACTCTTGTCTCTCTGTGGCTGTTTCTCTCTCCTTCCCTCCCGCGTCTTGCACCTCCTTCTCACTTCTCTTTTCTTCCCTCTCCCTAGTTCCAGGGGCACAGTATGGTCACCTCAGACAAGATTCCGAGAGGAGCCGTCCTCAGTTCACATCTGAGCACAGCAGGGGCCTAGAAGGGTCCCCCGCTTCAGGGGCAGGCATGGGGCAGGACAGAAAGTAAAGAGCCGCAGTGGTGCGCCTGAACCCTGAGCAGAAGGAGGTTCAGCCATACATAGCCCAGCTCTCATCCGGCTGAGCTGGTTCAGCCCCCGAGGCAGGGTCTCTTCCAGTCTGGGTGGGTTCTGGATGCTCAGAGCTCCCTCACTCCCAGACTTGGCTGGAGAGAGCTCAGGTAGAGGAGGCTGAGTGTGGCCAGGATCAGAAGGTGGTGGTGAGTGGGGACAGCTGGCTTAGGTTGTGCTCAGCGTCCCCCATGTGCAGGCCCCAGCTCATGGATGTTTCTGCTGGTCTTGGAAGCCGGTGGCGTCCGTGGAAGTTAATCACATTATGCTCTGGGGAGCAATATGGGATTGGAGAGAGGTCTGGAGGGAATCCACGCACGCACGCTCGCTCACACACTCACTGCAGCTAGGAGCACAATGCTGCCGCCGCCCAGGCTCCCAGCGCCGCCGCACCCTGCTCGCAGGTGGACTCCTGGCGCCTGGCACCGCCTCGGCCCGGTCCGGACCCGCCTCTCCTGCACCGCCCCGCCGGCCGCCCAAGTTGCCGGGGTGCTCGTGCCCGCCCCCCAGCACGCCTGGGAAGCAGGCGGGTCAGGCTGCAGGACCAAGTCCCGGAGCGGGGAAGAGCCCAGCAGCGGCCCGCGCCTCCCACAGGGGCTTTCCGGGAGATGGAGCCCCGTCGGGGCGGCTCCTCCGGCTAGTAGGGGGCCGGACACTCGGGCTGCTCCCGCGGGGCTGGGGCTCCCGGACAGCCCCCCGGGGCCGGGCTCTCGCCTTCCTCCTCTCCCCACTCTAACTCAGCTCCCGGAGCGGCCGGTCCTCGCCCCAGACCCTTGCGCCCGCCGGAGGCGCCCACCCTGGGGTCACCATGACTCGGCTGAGCTGGTGCTTCTCCTGCGTGATCCGATGGGGCAAGTACTTCTTCACCTGCCTGCTGCCCCTGCGCTTCTGCTTCCGCAGTCAGGTAAAAGCCCTCCGCCTCACCTGGGACCTGTCCGCCCTACCCCAGCCCCCACCCCCCGCCTCTCTCTCCCTCCGGCACTCCCCAGTCCGTGGTCTCCTCGGCGGCCGATGTATGGCCCTCCTACCATCAGGGACACGCCGTCTTGACCTGGCTTTCATCAGAGTCTGGGGACTCCCGCGAATGCATGAGGGAGGAGTAACTGCCCCTCCCCCGCGCATCTGGAGTTTGGGTCAGAAGTCGGAAGAATAGTACTGAAGTCTGAAGTCTATGGGGATCTGGGCACAGAGGAGTGTTTCTAAGCGTTTTCAGCATCCCGATTCCCCAGTTTCTGTGGGAAGGGAGGACGAGTTCCTGGAGATGTCTCTTTTTCCCCCCAGTGGACTAAGAGGACCCAGAGTTAAGGCTGGGGGATATCGCAGTGAGATGGAAGTGGGGGCTGTAAGGGCTGGTGGATTCAGGAGGGATTTTGCAGAGGGTGGAGGGACCAGGGAACTGGGCAGGGAGAGGATGAGGGCAGGAGGCAGTAGCTGGGGAGGAGTGTGGAGGGGTCTTGGGGACCAGACCACAGTGCTATGGGTCTGTGGGTGGGCGTGTCCTGGGGGATGTCTTTGTGTCTTTCCCTGGGATGCTCCCAGAGAAGTTCCTTGACAGTGCCTTCAGGGTGTGTTTGCTTGTGTGTATGTGTGTGTGTGTGTGTGTGTGTGTGTTTAAGGGGGAAGTTGGGGAGAGGGTGGAGGTGGGGTCACAGCTAGCCAGCACAGTAGGGAACTGGAAAACTGTGGGTAACCTTAAATTCTCCCCTGGAGGGGCAGACACAACCCCAAGACCATGACCATTAGCCCTTAGATGCTTCCTCTCCAGTGAGGGGAAGGATTTCGGGGACTAGGGTTCCTGAACAGGGAACTGGTTTGATCTGTTGTGCATTTCTTTGGGGAACCCGCAGGGCCCCTGTCACACTGGGGAAGAGGGGCTCAGTACAGTTTTCTGATTCAGAGTGCTGGATCCAGAGCCTGTCTGCCTGGCTTTGGATTCTGGCTCTCGCATTTACTAGCTGTGGACCTTGGGCAAGTTGCTGAATCTGGCTGTATCTTCATTTTCACACGTGTCAAATGGAGATAATGAAACTGTCTACCCCACTGGGTTGTTGTGAGGATTAAACGAGGCAATACGTTTAAAGTGTTTACCAAAGTACCTATTCCATAGTAGGTGTTCAATAAACATCAGGGATGTTATCTTGATTATTACTGTGCCTTTCCAGCACAGGTCTCCTTCCTTGTAGACCTCCAGACAGGCTGGGACTGGGGTATGTGAGGATGGAGGGATTTCTCCTGGTATCCACTCTCTCCATTGTATGGGATTGAACGTTCAGCTCCTCCTCCCAGGTGCTGCCCCTGGGCCTCAGTTTCCCTCTCTGTCACTCCGCAGTGGGGAAAGGTGCCAGCAGGCTTCCACCCCAGTCACCCAAAGTGTGCTTTGAAATCTTCTAGCAAAATGCACTGTCCCCAGTGATTGGCTGGGAGGCAGGCGCTGCAGCTGTGGAGCACGGGGCCAGAGCCCCATCCACGGTCCAGCGGGCTCTGAGTTCACATGCTGCGGAGTCGGGTTTTCCCATTTGGGAAAAGGCAGCCTGCAGCTGGAAATGGCCAGCCAGGACCAGGTCAGTTGGACCCCGGGGCGCTTAGCAATCCCCCCAGTCCTCATTTGCAGAGGTGGAGGGTGACCCAAACTCCTTCTGGGCCAGGATCTGAGCGGGGCACTGGGGGTGAGGGGCTGGATGAGCAGCTGCCCCCCTCGCCTCCAGCCAGCCTCTGAGGGCCAGAGTCAGGCGGAAATTAGAGCTGGGGGGAAAGATCAAGATGACCCACTAGAGCCCTGGGAAGGATTTTATTAAAAATTGTTGGGATTGGGCCCAGACTTTGTCCCCACCTAGGGTGCTGGTGGAGGAGAGATTAGGGGAAGGGGATGTGATGATGCTCCTTCCTGTGTCTGCTAGGGAAAATGAGGCCCAGGCAGGGCCCAGTTGGAACCTCACCTTCTGTTTCAGGGAGCACCCTGATTTTTGGAATGCAAGGGGATGACCTCCAGCTCTTACTAGGGGGGTGGTGGGCATGGGGGCCAGGGGCAAGACCTCCCCAGCCCACCAGGTGCCTTGGTAAGCTTTGGGATGGATGCCTCAGGCTACGGGCTGATGCATCTGTCCCAGGCCCGGCTTGGGGAATGCAACTTAGATGGGACTTCAGCCCCCACTGACCCCTGGCACTCTGTGCAGTGGTACGTGGAGGCATGCTAGGGTTCTAGCACCACATAACTCAAAAGCCGAGTGTGTATGGGGCTGGGGAGCAGGGCGAGGAGGCCTAGCTTACTGGAAAGGAGGCTCTCTGGCAGCAGAGGCCAGACCCTGTGCTCACCCAGACCTTAGGCCCCAGAGGTTGCGAGTCTGCGGCTTTTCTCTTCTTGTTGGCTCTTCGGGAGCCATGAGGAAGCCAGTCAGTCTCACCCCAAATCCTGCGGCAGTACTGTCCCTGGCTTCCCTCTTTCTTCCCCTGGCACCTTCCACCCAAGCCGGACCTGGGCCTGGGTAATGGACCCCAGGTGCGGAGCTGCAGCGCCAGCCCTCGGATCAGCAGTGGGAGGAGAGCTAACACATCACCGCCCCATCACACCCTAATGCCTAGTCCCTGGGGGGCTATATTGTGGTGATAGAAGCAGCAGGAACATTCTCAGTCCCCTAAGAGAATGTTGAGTCAGACGCCTGGGTCTCCATCTTCACCCACCCTAGCTGTGTGGCTCTGAGCAGCTTGCCGAACCTCTTTGTACCTCAGCTTCTGCATCTGTAAAATGAGAGCTGGTCGGAGCCTTCAGTAAACGCTACAATGAAGTGCCTGATTAATTAGGATTGATCTTTCTTGGGGCAAGGGGTAGAGCAGTACTGTCTAAGGGAGGAAAGGGTACAGAGTGGCCGAGTGCTGGGTGTCAATGTCCTGCGTGTCCCCGGCTGTCAGGCTCTGTAGCCGGGCGTTGGAGAGGAACCCCGGAGCCAGCAGTGCCCTCACCTATTTGACAAGAGGCATCTGGGACCGACTGGGAGAAAAGCTGTGGTGTGAGCAGCCCCAGCGTGGAGGGCGGTGGGTGGCAGGTTTGGCAGGAAGCTGGAAGCATGACTCCGGGCTCACAGGGGCTGCATGGCAGGCCACGGGGGAGATGTGCGGGGCCTGGGGACCGTGAGACTAGGGCTGTGTTCCCGACCAGTTCTGTGACCTCCCTCCTCTACTGTGTTGCCATCTGTTTGATGAGGGGGCTGGGTCAGATAAGCTACACCCCAAAGGCCAGACTCTCCCAGTGGACATGTTTAATTCGGCTAGCAGAATTATCTTTTTTAAGCCAACATTTCAAAATTTGGGATTTTTTGTGCGTATCTTGTATGAAAGATTTTATATGATAATTTAGATTTGAGACCTCTTGATAGATCAAAGGATCTGGTGGTCTTTTGTCAGATGTCCCTGATGCCACAGTGGCTGCTATCACTGAGGAGTACATGTCCCCTTTAGCTGGGGCTGCCAGCTTGAGGTCCCCAGAGACCCCTTCCTTGCCAGCTCCTCCCATTTAACTTGTGTCGGGCCCCTGAAGGCTCTGACCGTCACCTTCCTCGTCGCCCTGGCTGACTGCTGGCTGGAGCCTGAGACTCTTTCCACCTCCGATGTTCTTGACCTTCAGCTTCTGTGCTAGTGGTGACAGAGGCAAGGCTCTGTACCACCGCGGGAGATGGGCTGGATGACAGGAAGAACTTTCTGATGGATGAGTGTCGAGGGATAGGAAGAGTGGACTGGAGGGACCTGGAGCCTCAGCCTGGGAACTTGGGGCCGTCACAAAAGGTGGACCTGGCAGGGACCCGAGAGACCATCAGCTTGGTCATTCTGCAGGTGAGGAAACAAGGCCAGGAGAGGGGGGTCAGGGATGTCACAAAGACCCTGCGCTTCATTCCCGCCCTCGCTCACCCATCCCTCTGTGCCAGCTCAGTCCCCCTGTGACCCGTGGGCCAGGCCCAGAGCCTACAGAGCAGCTACTGTTGGCTGCTGGGTCTGGATCTGGAGGGCATCTAGCAGGTAGGGTTCTGCGTGCAGTTGGGGGAGCTGAGTGGAACCCAAACCTGGCAACAGCAGTGGGGAGGCAGAAGGGATGGCGGGGCACAGGGTGGAGGTGGGTTCTGAGGCTTCTGGGATCCCAGCCCAGAAAATCCGGCCAACCCACTGGCATGTCCCTGAGGTCTGCTGCAGACAAGACCCTGGTCCAAGCCCAAGGCGGGGAATCCCAGGCTGAGCAGTATTATCTGGGCCCCCTGGGAGTCCTCAGCCTGAGAGAGCCCAGAAGCCAGGGGGGTGGCAGGAAGAGATGGTGCTGAAGCTGGGTGGGTGTCACAGTTGTGTGCAAACATGCATAGGCAGGACTGCCTGAGGCCCGTCCAAGGGGGTCAGAGGGGGAGAGAAGAAAGGTTTAGGAAGCAAACAGTAGATACTAACGGGAGGAAAATAGCTTAGGACCCACTGACTGATAGAGCGCCTCATTCATTCTTCAGCCGTGTCTGGTACCAGGCTTTGGGGACATAAGACACAGGGCATGTCCTTGGCCAAGGAATGCTCTCCTTGTGTGGGTGGGGGAGGAGACACCAGTCTGTGAAGGATGAAGAATGGGTGACAAGCCAGAAATGGGGTCATTACGGAGTTAGAGATGCCTCAGGTGACAGAGTGTAACATTCAGCAGGGTGGTTAGGTAGCAGGAAGGACTTCCCCACGGCAAGAGGTTCAGATCCAGGAGAGACCCCTGGAAAAGAGGGATGGGGACATTCTGGGAGAGGGTCCTTCCATGGGGACCCCAGCATGAGGGTCCTCCGCAGCCTAAGGGGATTGGGGAGGAGCTGGCTTGAGGTCTGTGGGGCTGCTTTGGGCTTTGTGGGAGGCCAGACAAGCTGGTGTCACTGTGACTTGGTCTTTGGGCTTGTTTTC